ATCTGTCATCTGCCCATAGCTTATTAAATCTCATCAGGACTGCCTGGATTCTCTTCCTCTGTGGCCTGGCAAGACTGTATCACCACAGCAAGCGATCAAAGAACAGGCAATGGAGTTCATGACAGAGGCAACAGCTGCACCCCTTACTCTAAGAACACACAATGAGACTGAGCTGCCAATCAGATACATCTGAGCAGGGGTCTAGGTCCTCTCCATTCAGTGCCATTGGTGTTGGTACGTCAGTCTCTGTAGGACTCCCTGAGCTCAGTAATTTTTTGCTTTGTTGATCTTCTTGTGGGGCTCCTGTCACCTCCATGTCTTCTTCCATAAGACTCCCTGTGCTCTTCCCAAAGTTTGGCAGTGAGTCTCAGGATCTGCTTCAATCCCCTGCTGGGTAGAGCCTTTCAGAGGACCTTCTATAGTAGGCTCCCATCCTGTTTCCTCTCTTCAACCACTACTGGTGTCATTTCTACAAATGAATTCCTTTCTAAAAATATATTTATTTTTATAAAGTACAGTTTATTCCCTTGGAATCCCAGCTGTAGCACCTTCACTCAGCCCCTCCCAAACCCATCCTTCTTCCCTCATCTCCCATGCTTTTCCCCAAGTCCTCCTCCCTTTCCTTCTGACCCAGCCTACCAGGTCTCATCAAGACTGGCTGCATAGTCTTTTTCGGCAGCCTGGTAACGCTGCTCTCCCGTCAGGTGGAGGTGATCAAAGAGCCAGACACTGAGTTCATGTCAGAGACAGTCCCTGTCTCTTTACTTAGGGAACCCACGTGGAGACTGAGCTACCATGGGCTATATCTGTGTAGGGGTTCTAGGATATCTCCATGCATGGTGCTTGGTTGGAGTATCAGTCTCACAAAAGACTCCTGGGCACAGATTTTTTTATTCTGTTGCTCTCCTTGAGGAACTCCTGTCCCCTCCAGGACGTTTTTACCTCCCCCTTCTTTCATAAGATTCCCTGTACTCTGCCCAAAGTTTGGCTATGAGCCTCAGCCATCTGCTTTGAAACCCTGCTGAGAAGAGTCTTTTCATAGGCCCTCTATGTTAAGCTCCTGTCCTATTTCCTGTTTTCTCCCTCTCCCAATGTTTGTCCCATTTGCCTTTCTGAATGAGGATTGATCATCTTACCCAAGGTCCTCCTTCTATCTTAGCTTCTTTAGGTATTTAGTATGTTTATCTTATGTTATAGGTTTAATATCCACTTATAATTGAGTATATACCATGTGTGTCTTTCTGCTTCTGGGATACCTCACTCAGGATGATATTTTCTAATTCTCACCATTTATCTGCAAATTTTATGATTTCCTTGTTTTTAATTGCTGACTAGTATTCCACTGTGTAAATGTACCACAATTTCTGTATCCATTCCTCAGTGAGGGACATCTGTGTTGTTTCCAGATTCTGGCTATTACAAATTAAGCTGCTGCAAACATGTTTGAGCAAATGTTATTGTATACTTGACCATATTGTGGATATATACCTAGAAGTACTACAGCTGTATCTAGAGTAAGTACTAATCCTAATAGTCTCAGAAAGGGCAAGATTGATTTCCAAAGTGGTTGTTGTACAAGTTTACCTCCACCAGCAACAAAGGAGGTTTCCCCTTTTTCCACATCATCTCCAGCATGTATTGTCACTTGAGTATTTGATCTTAACCATTCTGATGGGTCTAGAGTGAATTATCACTGTTTGAAGATGATATGATAGCATACACGAGTGACCTCAAAAATTCAATAAGAGAATGCCTTCAGCTCATAAGCACCTTCAGCAAAGTGGCTGGGTACAAAATTAACTCAAAAAATCAGTAGCCCTTCTGTATACAAAAGACAAAACAGCTGAGAAAGAAATTAGGGAAACTACACCCTTCACAATAGCCAAAAATAACATAAAGTACCTTGGTATGACACTAACCAAGCAAGTGAAAGACCTATTTGAAAAAAATTTCAAGTCCCTGAAGAAAGAAATTAAAGCAGATGATGGAAAGATTTCCCATGCTCATGGACTGATAGGATTAACATAGTGAAAATGGCCATCTTGCCAAAAGCAATCTACAGATTCAGTGCAATTCCCATCAAAACACTAACACAATTCTTTACAGAACTTGAAAGAACAATTCTCAATTTTACATGGAAAAATAAAAAAAAAAATGCAGAATTGCTAAAACAATCCTATATAATAACAGATATTCTGGAGGTATATTTATTCCTGATCTCAAGCTGTACTACAGAGAAATAGTAATAAAAGCTGCATGGTACTGGCATATAAACAGAATGGTGGATGAATGGAATCGAATAGAAGAGGTCAAAGTGTCACTATTCGCAGATGATATGATAGTACATATGAGCGACCCCAAAAATTCAACCAGAGAACTCCTCCAGCTGATAAACACCTTCAGCAAAGTGGCAGGATACAAAATCAACTTAAAAATATCAGAAGCCTTCCTGTATACCAAAGACAAAAGGGCCAAGAAAGAAATTAGAAAAACAACACCCTTCACAATAGCCACTAATAACATAAAGTACCTTGGGGTGACACTAACTAAGCAAGCTAAAGACCTGTTTGAGAAAAACTTCAAGTCTCTGAAGAAAGAAATTGAAGAAGATCTCAGAAGATGGAAAGATCTCCCGTGCTCATGGATTGGTAGGATTAACATTGTGAAAATGGCCATCCTGCCAAAAGCAATCTACAGATTCAACACAATTCCCATCAAAATACCAACTCAATTCTTTACAGACCTTGAAAAAAAGATTCTCAGCTTCATATGGAGAAACAAAACACCCAGAATCTCCAAAACAATCCTGTACAACAACAGATCATCTGGAGGTATCTCCATCCCCGATCTCAAGCTGTACTACAGAGCAATAGTAATAAAAACTGCATGGTATTGGCATAAAAACAGAAAGGAGGATCAATGGAACTGAATAGAAGACCCAGAAATAAACCCACACACCTATGAATACTCGATTTTTGACAAAGCAGCCAAAACCATTTAAAGGAAAAAAGACAGCATCTTCAACAAATGGTGCTGGTCTAACTGGATGTCTACATGCAGAAAATTGAAAATAGATCCATACTTATCACCCTGCACAAAACTAAAGTCCAAGTGGATCAAAGACCTCAACATAAAACCAGATACTCTAAATCTGTTAGAAGAAAAAGTGGGGAACCGCCTAGAACTCATTGGCACAGGAGAAAACTTCCTGAACAGAACACCAACAGCATAGGCTCTAAGAGCAACAATGAATAAATGGGACCTCATGAAACTGAAAAGCTTCTGTAAAGCAAAGGACACCATCATCAAAACAAAACGACTGCCTACAGATTGGGAAAGAATCTTCACTAACCCTTTATCTGACAGAGGACTAATATCTAGTATATACAAAGAACTAAAAAAGCTCAAAAGCAGCAAACCAAGTAATCCAATTAAAAAATGGGGAACAGAGCTAAACAGAGAATTCTCGACAGAGGAATATCGAATGGCAGAGAAACACTTAAAGAAATGCTCAACCTCATTAGCCATCAGGAAATGCAAATCAAAACAACTCTGAGATTTCACCTCACACCCATCAGAATGGCCAAGATGAAAAACACAAGTGACAACACATGCTGGAGAGGCTGTGGAGAAAGGGGAACCCTCCTCCACTACTGGTGGGAATGTAAACTGGTAAAACCACTCTGGAAATCTATCTGGCGCTTTCTCAGACAATTAGGACTAGTGCTTCCTCAAGACCCAGCTATACCACTGCTAGGTATATACCCAAACTTTGCTCAAGTACACAAAAGGGATACTTGCTCAACCATGTTTATAGCAGCTTTATTTGTAATAGCCAGAACCTGGAAACAACCCAGATGTCCATCAACAGAGGAATGGGTACAGAAATTGTGGTATTTTTACACAATGGAATACTACTCAGCAATCAAAAAGGAGGAAATCACGAAATTTGCAGGCAAATGGTGGGATCTAGAAAAGATCATTCTGAGTGAAATATTCCAGAAGGAGAAAACAAACATGGTATATACTCACTTATATAGACCTATAAGATATGATAAACATAATGAAATCTATACACCTAAAAAACATAATAAAGAGAGCGGACAAGATGATCAATCCTCATTTAGAAGGACAGATGGGATGTGCATTGAACGTATGACAGGAGTCTACTGAGGGCATCTGAAAGACTCTAACTAGCAGTGTTTTCAAAGCAGATACAAAGACTCATGACCAAACCTTTGGCAAAGTACAGGGAATCATATGAAAGAAGGGGAGTTAGTCTGATGAGGAAAGGATAGGAGCTCCACAAGGACCAAAGATATCTGGGCACAGGGTCTTTTCTGAGACTGACATTCAACCAAGGACCATGTATGGATATAACCTAGAACCTCTGCTTGGATGTAGTCAGTGGTAGCTCAGTAACCAATTGGTTTCCCATAGTGAGGGGAACAAGGACTGTTTCTGACAGGAACTCAATGGCTGGCTCTTTGACCTCCCCACCCCCCAAGGGAGGAGCAGTCCTTTTAGGCCACAGAGGAGGACTTTGCAGCCAGTCCTGAAGATACCTGATAAAACAGGATCGGATGAATGGGGAGGAGGTCTCCCCCTGTCAGTGGACTTGGAAAGGGGCAGGGTGGAGATGAGGGAGGGAGGGTGGGATTGGGAGGGAATGAGGGAGCGGGATACAGCTGCGATACAGAGTTAATAAAATGTAACTGATAGAAAAAAAATTAAAAAAAGAAGACCCAGAAATAAACCCACACACCTATGGATACTGAAATTTTGATAACTAGTATGTGCCAGCTGCCAACAGAGATAAAAGCTCAGTAAGAGACACTGTCGCTGGAGAATAAGACACTGATAGGGTGTGACGTCCAGTGTCCTGTCCTGGCCTGTGTAGGCATGGGCATACAAATCTACACGTGCATACTACTTTCCACATGTACACATACCACACACACACATACAGTGTACAGAATGTCTACTTTAACAGGCCTTACATTGCTTTACTTTGCTCCGCATGTTGATTATTCATTGGGGAATTTTCCGTTTCTAAGAACGAGGCTCTTCCGGTGGTAAGAGTGCTTAACCTGCTGTGTTCATTCTTCTGCGCCATAAGTTTTTCCAGACTCCTTCCTTCCAGTTCTTCCCTGTTTAATGGGGAGGGTCCATAGCCAGAGTCCACCAGGTCCTCAGAAATATCTCGTGAATCTAATTTACAATTATTATAATGAACGACCTCATTTTGCAGTGTGCTGTTTGAAAAGGCTGGATCTTTTTTCTGCGTTTCTGGTTCAGCCCTCTTGATTTCCAAATCCCCATGTTCATGTACACGTCTGCATTCATGACTGAGTTTCATTAAGTTTTCATAGTAGTGAGAGAGTTTGTCCCCAGCATGCAAAGTGAGACTGTCCCTGGACAAATAGAGATGAAAATATTAAGTAGAACTCCACCCACAAAAACAGAAACTTGTGTAGATTTTGAAGATGAAATTTACTACGTGGGCAAAGATAAACTTAAAATTGGAAACATAACACATTGTAATTTATTCTAATAATTTATATACAATTTTATATTATTTTTAACAAAATCCAAAACAACGGTTTATTATGATCTGTGTCAAGACAAAATGCCAAAAACATTTAGGTGCACTTTTAGTCAGTGCAATTTTGGTTTAAAGATGAAGAAGATCAAACATTTTACTGTCAAAAACATGACAAATAATGACTTCCTAAACCTGGAGAAGTTACAAATGAATTATAAGTATTGTCTGCACTGACTCTTGTTACACAAAATATTTGTACTGTATAGTCAAAGAGCTTATATTATGTGAAAGTTTTTATTTCTGTTTTTCTATGGACAACTGTTATCCATGGCAAAAATAACTCAAATGTAAATGGCTACGGTCCCCTTGAGGGGGGTTTATTCCTATGTAACTGATCAAAAATGTAGACACTCATTTGAAAACCTTAGCAAATGTGGAAGTTTAACCTGACTGAGTCTCATTGTTAGTCACACTTTTAACGTCCATTATTCCTGTTTGTTTCTGAGGCTGGAGCTCACTTTAAAGCTCTTGAAAGTGTATACAAGGCACTCTATTCCATTCCACCCCTTTTCCAGAATAAATAAGTAAAACAATAATTTTGATCTTTGACAACTATTTAAGGATGCAGTTAACGTGTAATAATAATTTTAAGTGTTTCTTATTATGTTAAATTATTTTAAGTGTGAAAATTTTAATATGAATTACCCATATATTAATAAAAACTTCAAATAGAAAGTGAACTGTTATAAGAGAAATATGTTAGACAATCTACATAGTAACAATTAAGATATGACTTATTCTCCTAGACACTCTCATAGCAAACTGACCATATCAGTTGGCTATACAATAGAAATGGCCAACCCTGAAAACATATACAAAATGACATTGTACAGAAGTGCTAGTTGTATTTAGGTACTTAGGTGTAATTACTATATGTGCGTGTGTGTGTGTGTGTGTGTGTGTGTGTGTGTGTGTATGTGAGTATGACAACACACACATAGATGACACATACACATTCACAGATACATACTTGTAAAAACAATTAAAGAGAAGGGAGTCCGCTCATTTATAAGAGGCTTTTATGTCTTTCCCTCTTGCTAACCATTATAAATTCACCAGATATTTCTGAGACCCTGATGGACTCTGGCTCCAGACCTTCCTCATTCAATGGGGAACATGGGAGGGCTTAGGGGAAGAAAAGGGAATGGAAATGATATCACATTGTATTCTTAAAAATAAAAATGAAAAAAAATGAAGTCATGGCTTAGATATTATAATAAACATCAGGAAGTATATACTTTGTTCTCTTTATAATGGAACTGTAGGTCAAAAATCAGAAATTATTTAGAAATATTAATGACCATGTATTATCTGAAGCAATGAAAAATTTTAAATTCTGTTATGGAAAGATCATTGTAATTTATTCATTGTAGTGCATGAAAATTCAAGGTCAGCAAAAGGAAGTTATCTGTTTACCATATTGAATTAGGATAGCTCCCAGCTTTTGTCCTCTGCACCTCTAGACACACTGACAGCTTTTTCCACCCTGGTGACAGAGTAAAGTAATATGCAAAAACAACATGTGTAATATGGTGTCCTAGTGTATTCTTCATATGCTTTCAAACTTACTTTATTCCTTTATAACTATGAATTCTTAGAGGATAAACAATCTTGAGAAAATAATTGTTGAATAAATTTATAACTATTAAATAACTATGTTCAAAATTCAAACGGACATATTTTAAGACAATATAAGATGTTCAGAATAAGACTACAGGTAGACAATCCCTGAGACACACTGCTCCTAATCAAACTAGTGTCACTGTGATAACCATAATAAACTTAATCATGTGTTTACAGTACATTATTTATTTTAAATGCAACAGAAGGAATATCAGAATCTTACCCTTTTTGTGTGATATACTTGTCAGTTAATGAGTTAAACTCTTGAAGTTGGCACTGACAAAGAACCAAGAAACATTTCAGGTCTTGATGACAGTGTTCCTCACTGTGGACCTCAGAGTAAGTGTTTAGTATGTCACCATTGAGGACTCTCAGGGCAGGTAATGTTGTAATTATAGAATCCCTATGAGAGAGAGGGAAGAAATTAATAATCCGGATAAGAACTTAGGGTAGCTCAGTAACCAAGTGGGTTTCTCTAGTAAGGAGAACAAGAAATATTTCTGACATGAACTCAATGACTGGCTCCTTTACCTCTCCCCACTGAAGGAAGAGCAGCCTTGTTAGGCCACAGAGGTGGACACAGCAGACAGTCCTGAAGATACCTGATAAGCTAGGGTCAGATGGAAGGGGAGGAGGACCTCCCCTATCAGTGGACTTGGAAAGGTGCAGGGAGAAGATGAGGGAGAGAGGGTGGGGTTGGGAAGGGATGAGGGAGAGGGATACAGCTGGGATACTAAGTAAATAACCTGTGATTAATATAAAAAAATAAAAATTAATAAAAAATAAAAAGAACTTATGTTTTAAAATAATCATAAAACATCACATAACAAACATAGAATGTTTATCTCAGAAAATGTGCTTGATTTTGCAGAGAAAATGATAAATTTATTCCAAACTATAAAATATTCTGTCATATGCAAGATGAGTTTTACAGATCCTAATGCTTTATCTTACAATGAACAATAAACTCAAATTGCAAATGATCAAACCTATGTTGAATACTCAGGCCAAAATTTGCAATACGAAAATGTTGCTCTTATAAAAAGAATAATGTGTGAAACTTTACTTTATAATGATGATACTTTTAACAATTGCTGTTGAGAATAAAGACAAACTTTACTGAGTTGCATTAAAATATAGTGTGAGTAGTGATAAAATGTGGGATGGAAAAGAGTTTTGTTTTATATGATCAAAGCCATTTAAAATTATATTTTCTCCTCATTTTTGCTAAACATTATAATAATTGACCTTTTGGGGTATGATCGAAATATCAGAGCAGTTTATGTTTTATTTTTGTTGTTGTTGTTGCTGCAATTTTTACTTTAAAAATACAGTAATAATATTAATTCTTTGATAATTTCATACATGCACTCAATATGCTTTGATCATATTCACCCCTACACCTTCTTCTAATACTTTAAAGATCTATACCCTATATTTAACCTTCTCACAAATTTCTAAATTTTATGTCTCCTTATCTATATTTTGATTATGGAGTAATCATTACACGCAATTCCAATTTGTGCTGTCCACATACTTGTATTGTATGATCATCTATTGGGGTGTGACCGATCCTTAAAGAGAACTGAGTCTTCCTTTCTCAGTAGCCATCAACTGTCACTAACTCCTCCATTAGGGGTGATGACTAGCATGTCCCTCCATCCACTCTGGGATGTTCACTAATTGCTTTCTGTTCAGGAGCACATTAGTTCTGTCATGCTCATAAGATACCCTTTTACTCAAGTCCTTCCAGACATCCAGCTCTTACAATTTGTTTTTTATTATCCTCTGTATTTTAATGTTTCTTGAGCTTTTGGGCATTGAGCGTGATACAGATGTCTCATTTGTGGCTGAGAACTCTTCAGGTTGGTACTACTTTTAGTGAAGGTAGGTGTAATGGGAAGAGGCAGTAATGGCTGAGACCTCATTTGGTCCTATTACATTACAGAATATTAGTCAAGGAGATAAATACAAGCATGCACATACCCTTGAAAAGTCCAATAGTTACATTACAGGTGATATTGATGTTAATGTTACTTTACCCAATATAAAGATGATATTATTCAACATATACTCAATATAAAATTAGTGTTTAGTATGTCACAATTTTTGATGTAACATTTTGGAAATTTGGTGTTTACTCTTATAGCATTTCATAACATTTCTAAGTTTGGTTTAGCAGCATTTTGAATTCTGTGCTGGACCAGAGCAGTTTAAAATACAAAGACATAAGAACAGTACAGACAGCAAGAGCTGTAGTTCCAAGGGCCAAGCTCATCCCTTAGAAAGCACTGGCACAAACCTTTCACAATGAAAGTATGAGTCTATTTCACATGTAGGTGATGGTCATAGTGAAAATTTGGACTTCTTGAACAAGCAAAATGTATAGCTAAAGACATAAACTCCTTAGAGAAAACCTAAAAGACGTGGATGACATATACCAAAGAAGAACATAGAGACATGGTATGTTCATGGATAGAAAGGCTCAATGTAATCAAAGCAATAGTTAATCCCAAATTAATTCACAGATTCAATTGAATTTCAGTAAGAGTTCATAAATGCCTTTAATGAACATCAATAAATGAATGCAAATAGAGATCTGAAAGATCCAGGATCCCAAACAACTGAAGAAGAAACAAACATCAAACCGACGTGTGATTTCTAGACTAAAATTGGAGATACAGTAAGACAGCATGGATTAGGTGGAAAACCAAAACAAAAGGCATGTTGATCAGCAGAGTAGCAAAGAAGGCCTAAAGGAAAGCCCCATGAGTATTTGACAAAAGGGCAAACAGTCAAATGAAGGAAAGTTGTGGACATTGACATGGAAAAAATCCTGACTGTAGACAAATAAATACATTTAAAAATATTAAATTAAAATCCACCATGGACATAAGTGAAAAACAAAAATACATAGAAGATAATAGAACATGAAAAAAACAAGTTCATTAATAACTTTAGATCAAAACTAAAAAACATGATCAAGAAAAAAAAACAGTTCAAAAGCTAAATGTAACTAAAATTAAAACTTCTATGAACAAAAACAAGAAAGGAGAAAATATTTGAGGAATATAAATCTAATAAAGGGCTTATTAAAATATACAAACAAAAATTAAAATAAGAAATAAGACTAATTTAAAACTGGGCAAGAAAATGGAACAGACACCTTATTTTTATGGTATGAATAAGAATGACCCCTTTAGGCTTATATATTGAATGCTTTGTCAACAAGGAGTAGTATTAGGTAAAAGACTTATGCAGTGTGGCCTTGGAGTAGATGTAGCTTACTGAAGTCAGTGTGTCACTGGGTGGGCTCTGAGGGTTTGAAAGCCCAAGCCAGGTTTCAGTTGTCTCTCTATTCCTACTGTCTGTGGATGCAGATGTAGTGTTCTCAGCTTCTCTGCCTGATGACCTCCATGTTACATGCCATGATGGACTAAATTTTTGAAACTGTAAGGCAGCCCCAATTAAATGCTTTCTTTTATAAAACACCATGACGGGAAGTAGGAGAAAACAAATAACAATACAGAAGCCTACCACAGAGGGCCTCTGAAAGACTCTGCCTAGTAGTGTATCAAAGCAAACGCTGAGACTCATAACCAAACCCTGGGCAGAGTGCAGGGAAACATATGAAAGAAAAGAGAGTTAGTAAGACCTGGAGAGGACAGGAGCTCCACAAGGACCAAATATATCAGGGCACAGGGGTCTTTTCTGGACTGTTTCTAGAATCCCTGCTTGGATGTAGCCCATGGTAGCCCATGGTTCTAGATAATCTAGAACCCCTGCTTGGATGTAGCCCATGGTAGCTCAGTATCCAACTGGGTTTCCCAGTAAGGGGAACAGGGACTATTTCTGACATGAACTCAACAACTGGTTCCTTTACCTGCCCCCCCCCCCCCCCGAGGGAGGAAAAGTCTTGCTAGGCCACAGAAGAGGACATGGCAGCCAGTCCTGGAGATAAGCTAGGGTCAGATGGAAGGGGAAGAGGACCTCCCCTAGCAGTGGACTTGGAAAGGGGCAGGGAGGAGATGAGGGAGTGAGGGTGGGTTTGGGAGGGAATGAGGCTATGACTAGGATACAAAGTAAACAACCTGTGATTAATATAAAAAAGTTTAAAAAGAGGGATAAAAAAATGGAAAAAAATAAAAAATAAATAAAACACCATGACCACTGTTGTCATGGTGTCTCTTCACAGCAATTAAACCCAAACTAAAACACTTACTAAGGAAGGTTGACAAAAGATAAGTATATGGGAAAATTTGTAGTTTCAGATTCACTAGGGACTTGCAAATTAAAATAATAATGAGCTACCTTGACATATCCTTCGAAAGTCCAAAATCCAAAACAATGATAGCAATCAAAAGACAGAAGAGATCTGGGGCCACAGAATTCTAATTCATTTCTCTTGTGAAACACAGTATGTCACAGGCATTTTGGAGTATAGTTTCACAAGTCTGTTAAAAGACTAACTATGCTATTCTATAATATTGAGCCAAAATCTTTGGTTTTACTTAAATGAATTTGGCCTATATGTCCACATTAAGTTGCTACATACAGAGGTGCTGACAGCTACTTTATACATAAGCGCATAAACCTGGAAGCAAGCAGGTTGTCTGTGGTACGTGGGAGACGTGGAGGAAAGAACAGATGCAGCCTGGAAATGGAACTACAGAAAAATGTGGAACTGTGTGTTACCAGTTAGTGAGAGGAGCACGGATTCTGAATAAAGCGGAAGTAGGCTGTATTGTTTTCAGTGTGGACTGACAGGATTATGCACTTGTCAAATGCATGGGCTATATATTTAGCAGATGGCCTTTGAATGACAACAACGTGTCAGTATAGGATTACTCACTCCAGCAAGTTAATATTAAGGTACAGGATCTCTACAGCGTGGCACTTTCTACATGTTGGTAATAGAGGACATGGGATGCTGTATTTTGAAGCTGACTTATAACTAGAATCTATTTTCAATAAAATAAAAGGGAAAATACATATGTGCTAAATAGTTCTGAAATATATAATGAATTTAAAAATACTGTAAGTAGGTATAAACTAATTAGATGTGTAATTCTCTTCTTTAATAACATTAACATTTGGTAGTAATTTTACTAGTAAAAAAATGAGATGATTAAATAAATACAACTCTACTTTCTCAAATTACTGTAAGCATGGAATTTTGTGAAGACATTAAAAAAGCATAAAATTCCCTACTGAAAAGGTTCAGAGATCTTTGAGAAACAGAGGGTAGAAAGATTTAAAGAGCCAGAGTTCCTAGATAACTTGAGGGGCGGTGTTTGCTGGATACACTAGGTTAATTGCACATTGGAACTCACAGGATTGTGACAGCATGCCCAAAGCACGCATAAGCCATATCCAGATAAAATCTCTATAGTCAGGGGGGGAGGGTGGACAGAAAAACCTCACTACAAGCTGAGGAGGGTTAGCATGTAATGGCTGTTGAGAAAGTGATAGTTTTTTTTTTCTCTATTGTGTGACCCATTGTAAGTTAGCAAAGCTATAAAGCAGGCTACATTCTCAAGAGTAGTTGGGCAGTACACACACACACACACACACACACACACGCGTTCCAGAAGGCGGGTATGAAGGTGAGACTGACTCTAGGATGTACTGAGGGTGAATATAATCAAAACACATTGTATGAAATTGCCACAGAATAAATAATATCATGTTAAAAGGAAAAACAAGTAATTATAAAAATTACCAAATTTTAACAGCGCATACATTATTTAAATTAAAAAAATTGTTAGTACAGACTTGTAGCATCATCTTATACATCAGAAAAACCAACAAGAATTTGTAAAATAAAATAAGAGCTATTATTAAACTCTCATAGAGATTTTCACTGACTGAAGTAGCCATTAGATTTGCACAAATAATATAAAAGTTTCTTAGGTCAATACTCCAGAAACTCTGGATATGGTTAATGTACATCAGATTTACAATAACAACAGCATTCAATCAAAAACAATTACAAAATGAAAATTCATTTTACTAGCTATGCTAATATAAACATAAGAAATTAGAATAATATGTTATCATACCAATAGTGATATGAATGCATATTGACACACACATTTTATTTAAACATAAATATTTATATTTTATACAAAGAAAATAATGGAAAAAAAATCACTAAGTTTAAGGACAGCATTGGATGTCAGATGATTTCCAAAATAATGCAGTTGGTACTACTTGGCAGCTACTCATTTGGAAAGAACCAGATAAGAAAGGGGCAAAACTGTATCCCTACCACCAATTACTTTCCATTTGGCTATTGCTATAACTATCATTATATAAAGCATTTTTGCTAGGTCGTATAATTTAAGAGAGGACTGGGCTTGAATTTCTATGTTAGGCATATCTTGATGCTGTCTTTCTCACTTTGATCCATAAAAGTTCTCAAGCAGTTCACTTTCATCAGATTATTCTGAAATATTTTTCAGATGTAAAAATTTGCTTGCATGTTCAAGACAGCAACAATATGTTAAAATCTGTAAGATATATAATCAAGGTTCAAATTTGATTTACAGTTTTCCTTTAAAATTTTATTCTTTAATTTTTGAAGGGAACCGTCCTCAGACCTGCAAAAGCCAACAGTGTGTGGATTGTCCTTAAGTTCACCAGCCAGACATATGAGCTTAGGGGGAATATATGAGAAAGCTGATTAATGTTGGGGATGAAGTAGAAGAACACTGTGAGATTTCAAGATTAGTTTTTCCAGCTGGGCTCCTCCTACTCCAGGGCGAAATCAATATTTCATTCAGTGAAAACTTCCTGGTGCATATTCTGCCACTTAAAAAGCTCCATTAATCATCAGTCAATGAAACAAATTCTCAAAGGAGATTTCAAATGATGCCTGTGGATTATGTTTTAAAAGAGATTTTTTTTTTCAGTACACCAGTTTTTTGCATGTTATCACTGGCTTGACATGAAAGTAAGAAGCCAATTGGGAAAATCTATAACTAATCCCTGTGTTGGTACCAGAGGTTATGTAAAGTTCACTGAAACAAACAGTATCAAAGTTGAGTTAGTCTTTTCATTAACAAATCCATATTTTATAACTTCTTCATTTTAAACCCTCTAGATAAATGAATCTATTTTTATAGATAATGAAATATATATTAGAACAATTGATCTAACTGAAATTTGACAACTTAGTTTCCCAGTAAGGAAACCCACCACTCCAGTTTTATTTTATCGGCCAAACTTTCAAAAGGAAATAATTGAAATAGTAAGTTACATGATTTAACTGGCTCACAAGAAGTTGACAGAAAATGTTTACTCTATCAAAGCAAAATTCAGTATTATAATAAGCCAACTTCTCATCAACTCCTTGCATTACAATCATACTTTCATTAACTCATTGATATGCTAAAGTATTTTAGACTAATGATAATTTAATTTTTTTTCAAATTTATTTATTTATTTATTTATTTATTTACTTATTTATTTTTGTTATTCAAGATTGGGTTCCTCTGTGTAGGCTTGGCTGTCCGGGACTCGCTTTGTAGAGCAGGCTGACCTCAAACTCACAGTGACTTGTCTGCCAGTGCTTCCAAGAGTTCTGAGATTAAAGGTGTGTGCCACAAACTGTATTTATAAAACTCAAAGGTAATTTAAACTATTTTAAGCATCTTGAATAATATTCACAGGAAATTTGGTATCATCTTTTGTCTCAAGAAATGTTAAATAAATTTTATCAATACATGAGAAAATGATACATATACAAACAAATATCTGTGACATTCATGGATTAAAAACTGCTTTCTTACCTCCAGTTTATTTCTTGGAGTACTGGGTTTCCAGTGAGACAAAGCTCACGGAGAGAGTAACATGCACTGAACCAACCCACAATATTTGTCATATCTATAGAAAAAAATATTTAAAATTTATTTAAAAATAATTATTACTGAATGTAGTTTTAACATAAATGTCATAAATAAATCACGTTTTCCCCATTACTCAGTGCAAATAAAATAATATTTTTTTTCCATTGCGGACTTCATGCTTTCGTAACAGAGAGGGTATTGAGTGGAACATGTCCTAGTATAAAATTACGTTTCTACCATGTAGCAACTGCATAAACTTAGGCAAACCATTCCTACAATCCACTCTTAAGACTATCATGTGGTTTGAGGACTAAATGACATGATGTACTTAATGCTCCACTATGTGTATAACAAAAATTGTGACACCAAATATAAGGTAATATAATGAAGCTAAATAACAGAATTATGTAGACCTGTTATTCCTTTAGAAGTATGGCTTGTAGAAGTATAGCTGCTGTGCAGAGCATTGTGTATAGACGTGATTTCCTACAAGATACTGGCACTGTCTACACTTGCATATGTGCCTGCACACACAAAGGCATACATACATGACATACTTATTTTTTTAACTTTTTATATTTATTTCAGTTTACCCATTTTGTATCTTGGCTGTGGCCCCCTCACTTGTCTTCTCCCAATCCCATCCTCCCACCCTCTTCTCCCTCTATGGCCCTCCCCTAGTCCATTGATAGGGGAGATCCTCCTCCCATTCTATTTGACCCTAGCCTGTCAGGTCTCATCAGGACTGGCTGCATTTGGGCAGAATGCATGGAATTTTATGAAAGAAGGGGAAGATAGAAAGATCTGGAAGGGATAGGAGCTCCAAAAGAGACCCACAGACCCCAAAATAAAGAAAACAAAAACAAAAGAAAACAAAACTGGGTCCTTGGGGTCTGCAGAGACTGATACCCCACCCAAGGACCATGCATGGAGAGGACCTAAAACCCCTGCTCAGATGTAGCCCATAGACTCAGTCTCCAAGCGGGTTCCCTAGTAAGGGGAGCTGGGGCTGTTTCTGGCATGAACTCAGTGACAGGCTTTCTGATCACCTCCCCCTGGAGGGAGCAGCCTTTCCAGGCCATGTCTATTTTTAAGGCTAAATCTGACACAAAGGAAACACATACTACATCCCTCAAATCATTTTTATGATCTCAGTAATTATATGTCTAGAAGAATATTATTATTATCTAGAATAACAGTAGAATACAGAGTCTGTTTTGCATAATTAAAGTGGAAAGTGTTAGAAAGGTAGCTAGAATTTGTAAGAAAAGGACTGAAAAGATGCAAGAATGTTGGAAATGTATTTAGAGAGGTCATCACTTGTCCTTGGCAAAGTGTTGGATATTATGCAGGCTTGAAAATACTCAAAATAGCCCAGGTTGCCAGTGTTAGGGGAAATGGCTAATGAACCCATGCTGAAACTTATGCGACACTTATGAAAACCATTATAGTTTTCAGCCCCAGCATCCTGAGACCTGCTCAATGTCAGAGATCACCTAAAGTCCAGGAATACACATTTTCGTAAAGGCTAGGCTCTGCATTAGAGGTATACACACAGTTGAAAACTGAAAAATTCTAAAACATGATAAAACTGAGCTTTCAAGCAAGGAAATTAGTCATTACTAATTGAATTAACTGTCAAAATGAACAACCTACTCTATTATTCAGAAATTATACTTCTATGCATTTAGTCAATAAATGTATAGTGGAAACATAAGTATGCACAACACTTGCATAAAATATCTGTAATAATTTTACATTTATGGTAACAAAACTTCAAAATATCAATCAAAAGAAAATGGACTTACAAATTGTTTACTATCAGTGAATAGTTAACATTACAGCCAGGAAGAGCACAATACTGAATAAACAATGTGGAAGGTTTTCATACAAATAAGAAGTTTTGAAGCAAAAAAAAGCAATATTGCTTGTTTAATATAAGGATAAAATTAGCTTATGATAGCAAATTCAGATTGTAGCTGCTACTTGGAGGGCGCTGAGTGAGAGACTACATGGAAAAAACATTTTAGGAGGACTCATTCAATTCATGATGCTTTAGCAATCTTTTAATGGATGAGCAGTCAGGAATAAAAAAGGTAGCAACAGTCTTTTTACTCATCTTCATATATACAAAGGCATATGTATTCAGAACAACACTTCATTACATTTGAGACAGAAACTCAAAAGCCTATTATTTAAAAAAAAAAAATAGAATTCCAAACTTACCAGAAATACAATTGTTCCTGATGTCTAGTTTTTCCAAAGACACAAAATGAAAAAGTGGTACAATTGTTGTTAAACTGAAAGCAAAATACAAAAATTCATTGAAAAAAGTAACAAGCAAATTCTTAATATAATTCATTTGAAGCACAAGTCATTTACTTAATGAAATTATGTTATTATAAGAAATTGTAAACAATCACTTATAATTGAACAATACAATGCAGTACAATTAAAACATTGAGTAACTGTATTTATTAAAAATGTAATAAACATAAGAATGTAAGTAATCCTATTATGGAAAATTGATATTCATTTCTTAAAAATATACCATGGAACATTACAATAAAGGAAGATTTTGATTCATTAAAAAAGAAATTACCATGGAATTGTGAATTTCAGTCACAAATACCATGTGCTTTGATGTGTATTTGCTATTCAATTTAAAATGGGTAGCTATTTGGTTATTACTTTGTTTTATCTTTTCATAAAGCTAGTTATACAGAAAATACATTGTTTGTTTTTCCTTCCTTAGTTTAAATACATGGCCTAAAACTTTAAGGTAAAAACTTGTTGGGGGATTACTATGATTTTTAACATGTTTGTTATTTAAATAAGATTACGTCATTTCCCCATTTCTTCACTCCAGGCCCTCCTGGCTACACTAAGTCAAAACTCTCCAGTGTCCCCTGCCAAGCTGGCAGCCTATTTTTTATTTATTATTGTTACCTACATACACACAGGGGCACATGCTTTGTGTGTGTGCATGTATAAATCACAACAGCTCACACTGCCCTGATAACTAAACCATGAGGAGCCCAGCCCAAAGTTAACATCTACATCACAGCAACAGAACATATAGCTCAGGGAACATGCAGAAAAGGGTGCAGAAATACTCTAAGAGTCAGAACTGGCTGTTAAACAGTTTCTCCTATAAACAGATGCACAAATAAGACAGGAACACTGGCAATATCAATAGATACTTTAATTAATTAATTAACTTATTATTACCTATTACAACTTATTCCTTTTATCATGGTTGTAGCCACCCCCCTCCTCCCAGTCCCACCCACTCTCCCTCTCCCATCTCCTATACCCCTCCCCTAGTGCACTGATAGGGGAGGATTGCCTCACCTTCTATTTGACCCTAGCCTATCAGGTCTCATCTGGGCTGTCTGCATCATCGTCCTCTGTGGCCTGGCAAGGTTGTAACCCCCAGGGACAGGTGATCAAAAAGCCAGCCACTGAGTTTATGTCAGAGACAACTCCTATACCCCTTTCTAGGGAACCCACTTGGAAACTGAGCAGCCAATGGGCTTCATCTGAGCAGAGGTTCAAGGTCCTCTCCAAGCTATAAATAGCTGCACAAACAAAATAGGAACACTGGCAATATCAATAGACATTTTAACATGAAAGGCGGAAATTTGTCAGGGTTACACCTCTAGCTAACAATATAGAGGCAACTAATGGTTGCTGAGAGGAGGAGAATTAACCTCTCCTAGGTTTTAACTCCCTTATTCGTTGTCTACTGAAGAATATCAGGTTTAAAAACCTATAGTATACATAGTCAACAAAACAAACTCAACAGATTGTATGTACATGTATGTGTTTACATATATATACATGTGTGTATGTGTATACATATATATACGTGTGTGTGTATATATGTATGTATATATGTGTGTATACACATACATTTAAGATCACTTTTAATAGAATAACTGATTAGATGTTACTGATTAATGAAAAATATTTTAAACTAGATTTAATTATTATTAATAAAAATACTTAAAGTTGTATTGTGTGTAATTCAGAATAGGAAATACGCTTAAGCTATAATCAATAAGTACAGAAAGAATAATATTATAAATACTTTATAGTAATAAAATGGATTTAATCATGACAGAAAAGCATTTAAAATATATATTCTCACAATCTGTGTATGTTAAATTGTAATAATGAAATTATTGATACTTAAAATTATTTTATTCGTTTCCATATTATAATGGTCATTAGTAACTTTTAAAGCAAGAAACGTAAATGATATTTAACATATAACACATATAATTTCAAATAAAAACTGAAAGGCAAATGAATTTCATCGTGATTGACATTTTTAATGAAGGCAAGTCAATCAATGCTTTGTAGCATAAAAATGCATTTCCATGGCTATTTGCAAATTAAAATCACATCAGTTTATCATCTGAATCTTTAACACAAAAATATATTTGCCTAAATTCATTATGAAACTGTAAATGTCTTTGTTAATTCTTTCTATTAATATTGTAAGTCTGTAATTGATCATAAGATTCAACTAAAGAGTTGAGTATAATATTATTAACTCTCTCTGTGTCTGTCTGTCTCTCTCCTATTATTCTAAGGTCAGAGGCCACACAGCAGCACTGTGGCTAAAAGCCTCATGGGGTCTGGCACAGACTAACCCTTGTATGCACCTTGACTCCTCCCTTGTACTTCCCTGGTCTGCATTAGTAGAGGGAAAGAAGATACTTCTGATGAAATGTAGACAAAATAATGAAGCTAGAAGAAAATCCCTTTCTGTGTTGTCACTCCTCTGCACAATACAGCCATTCATATAATCCTGTGCACTATTACTTTTTTAACAGAGTCTTGTGGGTGGTGCAGTGAAGAATAAAAGATACTAAAAGAAAACATGAAAAGTGCTGCCCCTACAAACCCTTTGTTGTACAGCATAAGAGTAAAGTTGACTAAAATGTCACATGGATGTGACAGAAAGAAAGGAAGAAGAGAAGAAAACATGGAAGGCAGTGAAAAGTGGGTAATTAACAGAGAGGAGGAAGGAGGCGGGACCAAATTCAAACATTGTAGATACATAATTATTAAATTTAATTCTTAATCTTATACTATTTTCCACCTGTTCATGTTTTGATAATTTTTATAGTATGAAATTTTAATTCTTCAAGTATAAAAATACATAACAAAATTATTTTTGTAACTTTACTACATCTTAATATTAACTCTTTCTCTTTTTACTAGAACTCATAATTCATAGGTAATGAATTATTTCACTCTTCATAAAATGGTTGTTCTCTGTCCTACAGAATATTTTGTGTACTTAACAATGCTATAGCATTATATAGCAAGTATGTGGTGACATGTATTTGAAAACATCAAGAAAAATTAGTCAATGCTGTTTTAGAATTTAAAAACAATGATATTCTCTATAAAATCAATTTACATAAATATGTATCTGCTTTGGTCAAATATCTTTGTAATATTACAGTTTTACCTTTTCAGATACCCATTCTTTGTGAAATGATTTGTAAATTGTCCTTTTTGAGATCCAAATCATGAAAACTGGATATTCACGATTCTTTATTCATTGTGATGGTAGAAATCTGATCATAGATTCCTTTAAAAAAGTCTATAGTTTTTCCCTTTAGTAACATTTCATGAATATTTTTTTCCAAGAAAATTCAAACCAGAATGACAAAGGGACATTAGTGAAAACCTAATACGACTTGACCTTGTCACATTAGCCCTGGGCATTAAACGATATAAGTTTCAAAGACGACAAAAAGCAAAAGATTTGTACACTGAGCACCCAATGGGTAAGTTTCCACTCTGCTCCCACTTAGGATCCCACTGGAAGTAGAACGGTTTATATAGCCAGAGATTTTTCTAGTTAGAACTCCACTTAGTCAAACTTAAACCAGTCACATGTCTTAATGAAAATTCAAAACAGAAGCCAGGATGAAACAAGTACTCCAAACAATATTCACTAAATACTCTTCTTTATTTGTATTTCATTTGCTTAGTAAGAAAGTATGTGGATGAATAATCTCTTCCTTTTGATGAAAATAGTTACCAAAAATAAAAGAAAATATATAAAATGTAAAACTATCTTAATTATTCACCCCAATGATGTCTGCACAAGTGCATTTGAATATCTCCATTGTAAACTCATATATTTCTGCAGTGGACTATTATATATTCCTTATAAAGATGACAGCTAGAAATTGCTAGTTGGAAGAGAGTCAATAGCAGCCCTTTGTCAACTAGGTAAAGGTTAGGCTCAGACGATGAAAAGACTTGCCCAGTGTCAACTGACTGGGATGTCACAGGTTCAAACCACAAACCTGAACTGCTCTGTCTGTTTACTATGTAGCTCTGCAGACAGTGTGCAGACCCAGCAGTGAGACCTGGATTATAGCTAAAGAGATAAATATGCTGAGAAATACACTAAGCCTTGAGATTATGCCATTAGGAAATAATTTCATTTCCTTGCATGCCTTCAGCTCTCCTGCTTCAGTAATTGCACGTGCTGATGTAAATGAAGGACTTGAAAGTACAAAAATATCTTTAAATATTTGACAGTATTATTAAAAATTCAGTATGGTATATACACTAATAATTATATATAATATGATTGTTGTATATTGATTGTAAATACTTTCATGAGAAAAAGTTTCCTAACAGTATTTAATGTACACTATGTTCTTCAGGTGCATGTCTCTACATCCTCCTCTCTACCTGCCCTCCTCCTAGCCCATAAACGAGTTTTCCTCTATTTCTCTGCCATATGGATATGCATAGTAATTTTTACAAAATCTAGGAGCCAGAAATGAAAGAAAACCTGATGCTCATGTTTTTTTTTAATGTGAATAAGATTTTGTACACAGTTAAATTCTCTATCTTTAACGTGTCTTTTAGAGTTAGAACATATGCCACTCATTGTTATAGCTCTCAAAATAAAAAGCCCCACACTAGTATTCAAAAGTTACATCTAAGTAAACTAAATTTCAAATAACAATCATTTGGAGTAATTATTCTAATTATGAATATCAACTCCAAGAACCGAATTGGTCTAGTTCAATAATTTCCTCTGCAACAGACTGATATGTGACTATAATTAGAGAATGACAGTGTCAAAGCTTATCATCTGCATTAGTTTTAACTTTGACAAATAAGCATACTTCATTGTATGCTTAAAGTAGTCAACAAAGTAGTTAAAGAACAAAGACATTCTTTTATAGTCTTCTAAATTTAAATGTATTCTAGTCATTTGAGAACTTTTGTCAAATATGTGTGTTTTGCCTAATCCTGCATGTTTTGCTACATGTGTAAGACAAAACACATAACTTAATATTGAGAAGATATTTGCTATAAAACAATACTATATATTCATGCAGGTTGAAAGTACTTATATGGTTCACTTGAAGGCGCTTACTTCAAATTCAAACAATGTCCTGCTAAATTTAAGTCAGCTTTCCTAATTTAGAGCTGATTAAAAACCTAAAGGGATTTTAAATATATATTCAGTTTATTTTGATGAATTCTGCTTTCGTTGCAGGAATCCAATTTTTTCTAGTGGTTTATGTACATCACACAATAATTTTACATAACTTATTTGAATGTATTGCTAAAATAAAATTTATTTTCACCTGTTTTGAGAGATACTTAGATCTTGTAGTAAAGGCAGCCAACAGGAAGAAAGTTCTTCCATGCTTGAGATACTGTTGTCATCCAAGTGCAGTTCTCTAAGCAGAACATGATTTCTTAAGGATGGAGGCTAAAATTAAATATATTCTGTTACTTGACAGCAGTCAAAATATTTTGTAACCAAATCAAAAATATAGATTCTACCAAAGCTTATAATATATACATCCTACTAAACAATAAACCAAAATTTGAAGTATATTGTCACGAGTCTTTCAGTATGGATGAAATACCTCCAAATTAACTTTATTATTTTTTATAAGCTTTGTAAATGAAGTTTCATGACAGAATTCAATTTAATTTCAATAGTAGGTAACTGTGGTTCAATTTATGACATAAGTAAAACAAAAATATTACGATATGCTACATTTTGTATTCTGAGAATCTTGTGTTAAACAAGATTTATAAGACATTTTAGGTATTTGGGGGTTTTACTAAATGAATAAAAATAAAATAATGAAAAGGGGCCTATGAGTGGGGGAAATAATTAAGAGAGAGTAGAATAATGTAAGAATACAAGTATGAAAGGAAATAACCTTTCAATAAAAGTGATGATGTGCAGAAAATAGATTATAAGGAAATCTATTCAAAAACAAAAAGTGAGGTTTTAATTTATGGTACTCTGTGGAAGTAGAGAAAGCAGCTCCCAGAAGTCACAGGTTATTAGATGAAAATCTCATTTTCAGGAGGGCTCTTTCTCTCATTCTAAACAATATGGGCAATTGCCACTGCTCTTGATTGCCTACCAGAGCAGCTGGTTAAGAGCCTATTGACTCATGACCAAACCTTTGGCAGAGTACAGGGAATCATAAGAAAGAAGGGGAGTTAGTATGATGAGGAAAGGATAGGAGTTCCACAAGGACCAAACATATCTGGGCACAGGGTCTTTTCTGAGACTGACATGCAACCAAGGACCATGTATGAATGTAACCTAGAACCTCTGCTCAGATGTAGCCTGTGGTAACTCAGTAACCAATTGTTTTCCCATAGAGAGGGGAACAAGGACTATTTCTAACAGGAACTCAATGACTGGCTCTTTGGCCTCCCCACCCCCCAAGGGAGGAGCAGTCCTGTTAGGCCACAGAGGAGAGCTTTGCAGCCAGTCCTGAAGATACCTGATAAAACAGGATCAGATGAATGGGGAGGAGGTTCCCCCTATCAGTGGACTTGGCAAGGGGCAGGGTGGAGATGAGGGAAGGAGGGAGGGACTGGGAGGGAATGAGGGATCAGGACACGGCTGGGATACTGAGTTAATAAAATGTAACTGATAAGAAAAAAATAAAATTAAAAAAAAAAAGAGCCTATTGATGTAGATACCACCTGCCTTGGTTTCATGACATAAAGAAATAAAATGGAACTAGGCTGGAAGTTTCTTTGCTTTTTCGCCTTTAGGATGTCGCAAGATAACTTTTTGTTTGTTTGTTTTTGCTTTGTTTCTTAGATTTTTAAAAAATTTTCAGTTTATTGACTTTACATCCCAAGCATGCCCCCTCACTCTTCCCCTTCCAGTCCTCCTTCCCTTGCTTCTCCGTTTCTCTCTCACATTCCCCCCAGAAAAGGAGAGCCCCCATCTTCCCATATCAACCCTCCCTAGCACATCAAGCTACATCAGGACTGAGCATATGTTCATTCCCAAAGGCTAGGCAAAGCAATGCTGCCAGGAGGAAGTGATCTAAAAGCAGGCAATAGAGTCCATGCTAGAAAGAGCTCCCTCCACTCACCAGGTGTCCCCTATGAAGACCAAACAGCCCATCAGCCACATATGTGTGGGATGGCTATTTCCAGACAATGCATGCTCCTTACTTAGTTGATGTCGGAACTGTCATCAACCTTCATCCTCACTGCACCACCTTTTGTTCAGCAATATTCACAAATCCAATGGGATAAACCCAGTAGTTCAATAGTGACAAATCTCTTATTGGAATAAAGAACCACTTTCTGATTGAATTTGATGCCTGCTGTATAGGAGAGAATTACTCTCCAGTATTGTAAACCTGGTATAAATCCTCATAGATGGGGTGTTTCTAAGCTCTAATGTGGAAGATACTGCTGTTATTTTGTTAACCAATTGTGTGCCTCTCAAAAGTGCCCTCTCAATAACTAAATTTATTATCATATAATGTTACTGCTGTCAGTTTCAGAGAATCATGGTTCACCATTAGTGACTGTGGAGGCTCATAACAAATTGGAGAGAATAAAGTACCTTTGGGTGCCCAGTCATAAACAGGACATCGATGGTATCCCTTCCAAGTCTCCCAAAACATCTTAGGAGGAGCGGAAAGAATGAGGTGGAGTGGTGTGTAACACTGTCTTCAGGGCATGTCATAGCTAGCTTCCTTGAACACACAGCATCTCTGACTACCTCCACAAGGTCTCCTCAAAACTAGGCTTGTCAACACCTATTCATGGAATGGAACGTGTCACATGGAGGCCTCTCCTCTGAAAATCTCTCTTCAGGTAATAGTGGGATTTACATGTGTCTGTAAAAATAATTCTATGGCCATATTCCTGTTTACAACCCTAATGAAACTCAGGAAGTCTCTTTGTGTCCCTCTCCCTTTTCCCTCTCTTTCACACACACATACAGGAAAAAAAAAAACATATATATATATATATATAAATTGGTGTTGGAAGTAGACAGGAGAGAGTAATATGTTTTATGAATACAGTATAAAATATTTTATATACATGTATGGAAATGCTATAATGAAACCCATTATTTCATGTAATTAATATGTGTTACAAACTGCTAAAAAGTAAAAAAGGAAATGTGGGAATAACATACAGTTGATTAATTTAAAAAGAAAGAAATATTATTCAAATTGCTTTTAAAATGTTTGTTATACATGTAGATATTTCTGTTAAAAAGATATTGCATTATTTACACATATCAATTACTTTAAATAATGTACCTCTCTTAGGTAATTTCCCTGCAGCTTTACTATTTGCAGCAATCCACAATTTCCGATGCCATCAACCTCAGTAAGGTGATTATGCGAGCAATCCAGATGAACGATGGTGGGTACTTCACACAGACCTTTAGTGCTAATTAACTGGTTATGGTCCACGGTTAGCTGCTGAAGATGTTTCAAAGATTCTAGACCACCTGGAAGATAAGTTCCTGATATCACATTTGTATTATACATTGTTCCTGAGACATAGTATGATGAAAAATGCTATTTGGGGATAAAGTCACATCTACATCAATACCTGTATTTTTTTTAATGTAGCATTTCTCTGTAAACTCAGGCTGGCATAAAACTTATGACATAGCTCAGGCTAGTACTGATCTCTTAAACTTCCTACTTTACCCTCCCAAATGCTTGAATTACAGACATGCAGCACTGTGCATTGTCTTGGAAATACACTGCTTATTTACATAGTTTATATAGAGATTGAAATCTAAAAGAAATGCTTAACACATACATTGGCAATGAGAATTTTCAAACAATGAAACAAGAAAAATTGCTAAGCTTAACCAGAATTTTTTTTTTTTAACTCAGAGTGGCAAACTTTTTTTTAACTTTTACAAGTGTCACTCAAGAAAAATGGGATAAGTAACAATTGTGAACAAAAGAAACTAAAGTCAAACAGCAGGCAAAACAAAGAAACATTTGGAGGAAGCAGAAAAAATGGGGAAATTGGAAATGTATCACACACACAGGAAAATAATAATGGAATATGCTTCTAAATTATTAAAAAAAACTTTTATTTTACTAAATTACATACCATGAATAATGGCAGGCATAGTTACGAAAAAAAAATAAAATAAAATAAAAGTTGAGGTGGGACCATTACTTTGGCAGCAATGAAATCACTGGAGACTTGTATGCTAGAGACATTAGTAGGATTATCAGGATAAAAACCACAGTAGAGTAGACTGTAGAAAAGCTTCTGTAAAGCAAAGTACACTGTTGTCAGAACAAAACGACAGCCTACAGATTGGGAAAGGATCTTCACCAACCCTATATCTGACAGAGGGCTGATATCCAGAATATATAAAGAACTAAAGAAGTTAAAAAGCAATAAATCAAGTAATTCAATTAAAAAATGGGGTACGGAGCTAAACAGAGAATTCTCTGTAGAGGAATGGAGAATGGCAGAGAAACACTTAAGGAAATGTTCAAAGTCCTTAGCCATCAGGGAAATGCAAATGAAAACGACCCTGAGATTTCACCATCAGAATGGCCAAGATCAAAAACTCAAGTGACAACACATGTTGGAGAGGTTGTGGAGAAAGGGGAACCCTCCTCCATTGCTGGTGGGAATGCAAACTTATACAACCACTTTGGAAATCAATCTGGCACTTTCTCAGACAATTAGGAATAGTGCTTCCTCAACATCCAGCTATACCACTCCTAGGCATATATCCAAACTATGCTCAAGTACACAACAAGGGCATTTGCTCAACCTTGTACAGTCACTTTATTTGTAATAGCCAGAACCTGGAAACAACACAGATATCCCTTATTGGAGGAATGGATAGAAAAATTGTGGTACATTTACACAATGGAATATTACTCAGCAATTAAAAACAAGGAAATCATGAAATTTGCTAGAAAATGGTGGGACCTAGAAAAGATCATCCTGAGTGAGGTATCCCAGAAGCAGAAAGACACACATGGTATATATTCACTTATAAGTGGGTACTAGACCTATAAGATAGGATAAACATACTAAAATCTGTATACCTACAGAAGCTAAACAAGAAGGAGAACCTGGGGTAAGATGATCAAGCCTCACTTAGAAAGACAAATGAGATGGACATTGGAAGTAGGAGGAAATAAGTAACAGGACAGGAGCCTACCACAAAGGGCCTCTGAAAGACTAAACTTAGCAGTGTATTAAAACAGATGCTGAGACTCATGGCCAAACTTTGGGCAGTTTGCAGGGGACCATATGAAAGAAGAGAGGGGTAGTAAGTCCTGGAGAGGACAGGAGCTCTACAAGGTCCAAATATATCTGGGCACAGGGACATGTCTGAGACTGATTCTCCAACGAAGGACCGTGCATGGATATAACCTAGAAGCCCTGCTCGGACGTAGCCCACGGTAGGTCTGCAGACAAGTGGGGACCCTAGTAAGGGGAACAGGGACAGTCTCTGACATGAACTCAGTGGCTAGCTCTTTGACCTCCTCCTCTTCGTGGGAGGAACAGCCTAGCTAGGCCACAGAGGAGGACATTGTAGCCAGTCCTGGTGATACCTGATAAGCTAGGGACAGATAGAAGGGGAGGGGAGGATCTCCCTATCAGGAGACTTGGGGAGAGGCATGTGAGGAGATGAGAGGTGAGGGAGGGACGATGGGATTGGGAGAGAATGCAGGAGGGGGCTATAACTGGAAACAAAGTGAATAAACTGTAATTAACAAAAAAGTTAAAAATAAAAAATAAATAAATAAAAATAACTTTTCTCACTCATATAGACATACAACATAGGACAAACCCGCTAAAATCTGTGCATCTAAAGAAACTAAGCAAAAGAGAGGACTCTAACTAAACTGCTCAATCCCCATCCTGAAAGGCAAAGATGCTGGGCAATCAGAAGAAGAAGAAAACAGGAAACAAACTAGGAACCTGCCACAGAGGGCCTCTGAAAGCCTCTGCCCTGCAGACTATCAAAGCAGATGCTGAGCCTGATGGTCAACTGTTGGGCAGAATGAATGGAATTTTATGTAAGAAGTGGGAAATAGTAAGAGCTGGAGAGGACAGAAACTCCACAAGGAGAGCAACAGAACAAGAAAATTTGAACACAGGGAACTTCCCAGAGACTCATACTCCAACCAAGGACTATTCGTGGAGATAACCTAGAACCCCAGCACAGATGTAGCCCATGGCAGTTCAGTATCCAAGTGGGTTACCTAGTAATGGGAAGAGGGACTGCCTCTGACATAATCTAATTGGCCTGCTCTTTGATCACCTCCCCCTGAGGGGGGAGCAGCCTTACCAGGCCACAGAAGAGAACAATGCAGCCACTTTTGATGAGAACTGATAGACTAAGATCAGAAAGAAGGAGAGGAGAACCTCCCCTATCAGTGGACTTGGGGAGGGACATGCATGCAGAAAGGGAGGGAGGGTGGAATCGGGAGGGGAGGAGGGAGGGGTTTATGGGGGGATACAAAATGAATAAAGTGAAATTAATAAAAAATTTAAAAAAGTAATTATAATGCTTGTCAAGGAATAAATAGCATCCCATTGTTTATATAAAATCTGCATTTTGTTGATGGACATTTGGGCATTTTTCACCTTTTGGCTGTTATAAATAATGCTGTAAATAATGGCAGGAAGTTTATTACAATTTTATCTCTCAGCATACTAGCAATAAACTAGGTGTTATGGTAAAAAAAAAAAAAGAAAATAGGTATAACAGATTGTGGATTGTTAGCAATGGAGAAAACTTCTCTTTAAATGACCGACAGAACCCTCTGCGTCTGCCTTTCATTATCTTTCTGCACTCTTTTCTCACACTGTCCCCCCCTCTCAAAATGCAAGCCACCAGGCTCTGTCCCAGATATGTGGTCCATGCTTCACATTCTATCAGCCGGAGATATGTTAGGTTCATCAGTCAATATCAAATTGTAAAACAAACCCTAGTTTTAATCGCAGTCAAATGAAGTATTTTAATATGTTTAACATCTACCAAAAGATTTCATTTTAATGGGATAAAGGCATTTTAGGCCTCAACACTGAGATGTCCTTGACCTAGCCTTTGTGTGGGTTCCAATGAGAACAGCCTCTGCAGGCTTATATGTTTGAATACGTGGTTTTCAGTGGGTAGAGCTGTTTTGGAATAATTGAGTGGTATAGTCCTGGAGGAGGTGTGCTACTAAAGGTGAGCTCTAAAGTTTCAAAGCTCACACTATTCCGGGCTGGCTACTTTCTGCCTCCTGATTGTGAGTCACGTGTAAGTTCACAGCTACTTCTCCAGTGCCGTGCCTACCTGCTTGCATACAGTGAGAGAATTATCCCAAACTACCAAATGAAATATGACCAAAACACAACACATACCACAGTTTTTCAAAGTTTGAAAGCAACTGTCATACATTATGAAATGTGAAGAAATTAAAGTATAAGTAGCACTGCAAACACAACTCTAACCCCCCCCCAACACACACACCTAAAAAAAATCTTTAGAAACAACCAAACTAAATAGCTGCTGTTCAGAGAATGTTTGCGAAAATTACCAGAATATAGTGCTGATGAAACAGAAGATATGGAGTTGAGAATTCAGATTAGCTTAGTAAAGAAGAGAGGACAATAAACAAACAAGCATCCAAGTCCACCCTAGGAAGGTCTTCTCACAGAAATGAATATTGCTGCAGCACAGCCTCACTGTGAGCCTAAGCTCAACACTATGTGTAGCCTTCCCAGTAACACTGCCACCCTTTACCGTATATGTGCCCTGCATAAATTGGTTTTCACACAATCTTAGCATCTTCCCTGTCTTAATCATTGTGCATTCTGATGCACAATAAGAGTATTTTCAGTGCATATTGTAGAGTGAGTATATTTCTCTATAACTACCATAAGTCAGTTTTAAAACATTTCCTCTTCTTCAGTGAAGATTATTCATGTCTATTTAAGTGAAGGTGTCAGAGGTTTAGGAGATACTAGTAGTATCCTGGTGCCATCAAAAGAATGGATTTTAAGGTGTAAAGAGAAGGCAAAATAGCAAATTCTTCATAGTACAGAACAGAAAGAAGTCACTAATATGTTTGGTGCATCTGATGAAGATGGACGACTGATTTTCAAATGTAAAATGCAAGTCTAACGTTAATTAATTTTTATTTATAAATATTGCTTCCTGAGAATTTCATGTACTTTAGGTAAACATTTAATATGCTATTAAATAGAAATAAATAGAAATAGAAATGCTAGAAATAAACAATGCTTGAACATAAACATGCTTGAAATATCATGTTAATCAGTAAGCACCTGCTTGGGTATTTTGGTAATGACCAAAGAGCTCAAAGATTTCAGAGGTCAGTGATAAAGGCTTAAGAACTTCTGCTCGGATGTGGCCCCTGGTAGCTCAGTAACCAAGTAGTTTTCCAAAGTAAGGGGAACACGGACTATTTCTAACAGGATCTCAAGGGCAGGCTGTTTGAC